GCTTCTTATTAGCCTAGCGGTAAGGACCTTGGTTTTCTTGATGTTGAGATGTAATTCATATTGAGGACTGTAGTCTTTGATCCTCTGTAGCAAGTGCTTCAGGTCCTCTTTGCTTTCAGTAAGTAAAGTGTGGCATCTGCATAATGCAGGTTGTTGATGCATCTTCCCCAAGCCTTATGCCACATTCCCCTTCAGAGGGTCTGGCATTATAAATACTTTGCTCTGCATACAGATTGAGTAAGTATGAAGAAAGGATATATCCCTGACCCACACCTTTCCTGATTTTAAACAATGCAGTGTTCTCTTGCTTTGGTTGGACAACATCTGATTCTACCCAGATCTAATCATTTAAAGTATTTAAAGGTTGAGGGTTAGTGTCAGTAGCCGTTACGGAGGAGGACCCCATTAAAAAGCAAAACACAATATTTCTCAGTCCTGTACTATCCCAGGATTGCTTGTAGATTCAGCCATTGTGATCCACAGGGTTTTCACCTGCCTGTTCAGCTTTAGAACAATTTACAAGCCCTCACTACTTGCCTGGTGGCTGCACAAAGGTGCACTGGCCAGGAATCAAACATAGGACACTTGCACAGAAGGCAAGCACTCTATTACTGAACCACCAGTGCCCTCTAAGGGTGAGACTTGGGAACCCATATTTGACAATCGTCAGAGCTGAGTCGAAGGCACCTAACAACCACATAAGTAAACTTAAACAAGATAGCACTGCTTTATTATTATTAGCTCCCTGGAGGATGTAATGAAGGCCTAGCCCCTGATAGGAAGCCTACTGGGTAGAGCGTTGTGCTGCCAACTGAAAGACAGGTGGTTGGAACCCACCAGTACTCTTCAGCAGAAGGATAAGAAATCTCCTCCTGTGCAATTTACAGCTTCTGATAACCCACTGGAGAGTCAGCTATGAGTCCTTTTCCACTCAACAATAATGAGTGTGAGGGGTTTTTTTTTCCTATTTTTTTAACCCCTGGAATCCAAACTTATAAACTTATTTCCAAATATGGTCCTTGATTAACATAATACCAGAGTAGGATAGATCCTAATTCAATCATTGTGAATGTTTCTTTCTTCATAAAAGAATATAGGACACATATAGACAGGCAGAGGGGAAATGACTATCTGACCAAACGTTATGTTGTAGCTGTATGCCATGGAATGCCTGAGGTTACCAGAAACCTAAAGAAATATGAGAGACCTTGGAAGCTGGTGGGGAGATTTGATCGACTCGTTGAAGGTTCTGGTCATATGCTCGCTACCTGAAACTTTATTAAAAGCATTAAGATTCATAAAACAAAACAAAACAAAAACATGAAACATCCCCTAGCATTTTAAGGTATCTCCTAAGAGTCTAAATTTGGTTACACCCAATGGCAGATGTTTTCTTATAACATCTTCAATCTTTCTCCCTTGGAGAAAATCAGCATCAGAGTTCTAGGGGTGCTCCAGTTCTGACCTACACTATCGTGTAAGGCAAGCTGATGACCATGCAGGAGCCAGGAGTCAGAGTGGGCTGGGCCACCTGAGGACAGCTTCGAAGAGTCACTGACAGATAACATGTCCTGACTCTCAATCAGTCACCTTGTAGCACAAGAGGAGTTTCAGCCTCTTCTAGTGTTAAGTCTGTTGAGCTTTGCAGTCTCCACAGAGATCTCCCTGGGATGCAATGACACTCCACAGTGTTCTTCCAAAACTTTTCCATCCATCCTTTTTAAAGCAAGGACTTCCTTATTCCTACCTCTCAACATCCCTTTGCATTATGGGGATGCTATATTTTGTGGCAAAAAAAGCTGTGTATGTGGACAATTCAGTGAAACTAGATGACAATTCCATGGAGAAGACAACAAGGGTTGACAGAAAATGAACTCTTGTCCATATTAAGTTCCAGCCCAGGAAATGTGAGTCTTCCTGAGTGGAAAGAATGTGTGGATGGGAATAAAGGAGAAAAGGGAAAGGAAGTAATCAGAGAGTGAGATTTAGGAGAGGGGTAGGATGGGAAGGGGAAATACGGCTCAGCCCTGGCTGCATCCAAGGTGCTAAATGTGGTCAGAAATAGACATTTCAAGAGGAGAGAAGTGAGTGGAACCAAGGTGCTTAAGGATTTGTGAAAGTAGAGAGGGGACAAGAGTCATATAGAAGATAATACGTGCTATGTGACTTCTGCTGGTGGAATTGAGGGAGAATTTGAGAGTATTACTTAATTTCTCCAAAAAGAATGTTTGATTAAGATGCTAGTGGGAGACCGTGATCAGAAAAAAAGGAGTGATATGGCCTAATAATAAGAAATCCAAGCATAGTGTGCAGAGCATATAGCAAGAAGTGGCACTAGGGATGGGGGCAAATGATGACCCTTCATGATGGCTGCTGTGGGGAGTTCCACCCTCGTGGACACAGCCCTGGGAAAACAGCATCTGTGCCACTCTGTGTTTGGCATCCTCAGTGTCCAGTCTAACATCAGCCTGCCCTTTTTACAGGCAAATAAGAGATGCCATTTCTTCTCCATACTCTTGTAAATTCTCTCCCTCAGGCTGTGATTTCTCCATGGTGCCTCTTACATTATGTGTTCTCTAGGCTGTTTGAACCCTGGATTAGCATGGTTGCCACTGTGTGCCTGGGTTGACTTTCCATCCTAGTGACCCTAGAGAGAGGGTTCAGATGGTCTAGTCCATAGGGATTTATGGTCCTGAACCAAGGTGATGCCTCTCTGGAGGTTCAAATCTATGGGAGATAGATGAACAATCCCCTCCTGCACAACTTGCAGCCTCAGATACTCAATAGAAGGTCAGCTAGAAATAGGTTCCCACTTGATGGAAGTAAGTCAGTCAGTGACCATACATGACACAGTAGAACTGCCCCATAGGGTTTCCAAGCCTGTCTTCTTTTACAAGAGTAAATTGTCCAGTCTTCTCTCCAGTGATTAGCTGGTGAATTCAGACCACCAAACTTTGAGTGTTCTTCTTAACCACTGCACCACCAAGACTCCAAACTACTATTGTTTTTGTTGTTGTAGTTAGATGCCATCAAGTCAAGTATGACTCATAGTGACCCTATGAACAGCCAGCCTGAACCCTGTCCAATTCTGTGCCATCCTCATCATCTCTGACACACTCGAACCCATTGCTGAGGCAACCATGTCGATCCATCTCATTAAGGATCTTCCTCTCCTTCACTGACCCTCTCTGTCTTTCTAAACATGAAGTTCTTTTCCAAAGAATAGCTTCACCTAGCTACATGTCCAAAGCATGAAAGACGAAGCTTCACCATCCTTGCCTCCAAAGAGCACTTTGGCTCAGCTTTCTCCAAAATATATATGCTTATTCTTTTGGCAATGCTTAGTATATTCGGTACTCTTCTCCAGCACCACAACTCAAAAGCATTGATTATTCTTCTGTCATCCTTATTCATTGTCCAGCTCTCTGATATATAGTAGGTCATTGAGAAGACCATGGCCTGAATCAGATACACCATACACTTCAAACTAACATCATTTCTCTTCATCATTTTGGAGAAATCCCTGAGAGTGCATCTCCTTATTTCCAAGGATAGTGATTGTCAATCCAAGCAAGATGAAATCATTGACCATTTCAATCCTTCTTTATCATAATGTTGATTGTTGGTTCTGTGGCAAGAACCTTTGTCTTCTTGATGTTGAGATGTAACCCTACCAAAGGCTGTAGCCCTTCATCTTCTGTAGCAAGCATGTTCACTTTCTGCAAGAACGATGTGTCATCTGCATGAGGCAGGTTGTTAAAGAGTCTTCTTCAGATCCTGATACCACATTCTTCTGCTCAGACTCCAGCTTTGCAGATCATTTGCTCAGCTTACAGATTTAATAGATTTTAAACCATGAAGTGTTCCCTTGCTCTATTCAGGCCTAGGTAGATTCTCTGTGAGCGCAATTAAGTGTTCTGTGATTCCCATTCATCTCAATGTTATCCATAATTTGGTATGATCTTCATAGTCAAATACCTTTGCATAATCAATCAAACACAAATAGACATTTTTCTGGTTTTCTTTGCTTTTAGCCAGGATCCATTTGACATCAGCAATATATTATTATACCTGGAATTACGATGGCCTCTTCTAAATCCAGCTTGAGCATCTGGTAGTTACCTGTCAGTGTACTGTTCTAGCCATTTTTTCAATGGAGGAGGACATACCGGATCCCATTGGAGTCCAGGGAACCAGAGCAGAGATCTACAGGGAGAGTCAGGGGCCAGCGAGGGTCCTAAGCACTGGAACAAACTCATATTGAGCATCTATATCTAAATCTGGAATATTCCTACTCCACAAACATCCTCTGGCACACTTCCTGGCATTTAGCAAACTATCAGTGAGGATCAACTCAGCAGACCAGGAGCTCCTCTGTATCGCTTCCACGGAAGCATTGACTCAGGCCATACACAAGAGGACACAGTATGGACATGGACACAGCTCTAGGAGCCCAAGCCCTAGAAGGGAGATCTCGTCCTCAGCGACTATGCACAGCAACCACTGGGCCCTGAGGCCCATGTGCAAGGGATGGCAGGTCTCTCCTACACCCCACAGGAAGTGATTGGAACTTGTACAGACTGGCATGAGCACAGGTATGGAAATATCTCCTCCTTATCTCTGAGCACTGTCTCCTAACCAGAGATGTCACAGAGATGTTCAGAGATCTCTCCTAATCCTAGCTAAGGGTATCAGTGTAACTGGTCAGAAGACTTCACAGATTTTCACCTTTAGAGCCTAGTATGGTGCTGCATTTGAAAAATGGCGATAAGAATTTGACAAGGATTCCACTGAGAGAGAAGACAAGGTTGTGCTGGGGACATGTTAACTAGACACTGCTAACATAGTCCTGGTAAAACCCTGCGGTCTACAATCTACAATAAAAATTTACTATTTTGTCAACGGTGCCAACAAATGAAAACAAAGATTAGCACAAATGTAAAATGAAGGAGACATTTATTGTTGTTGAAGTCTCTGGATGTGTCTGGGCTGGGAGTGGCTCAGTGGTGTCCCTCAGAACAGGGTGCTGCACGGTGGCTCTGCTTGTGGTAGTCTGTAGCTATATCTCCTATTGCAGATAGAAACTCAGAAAAATCAATCTTCTTATCACCATTCTTGTCTTTTTTCTCAAAGATATTGGCCAAATAATCTGTGCCCTTTTTGTTCTGTGGGATGAAGACACAAAGCAGAAAATTTCAGTCACAGAAACATTCTAGTCTAAGAAAAGCAGGAAAACAGAGACAAGGAGGCAGAAAAACTCCAGGATGAACAAATGGAGTGGCTAGTGGAGCCTGTAACCGGAGGGCATTTGAGCAAAGACAGAGCAAAGAGGTAACATCACCCCTGAGATTCTCTGAAGGGATTCCTTCCTTAAAGCTTATCATGGATTAGTGATCTCACAAAAGTGGGTCCCTTAGAGATGTCCCTGGGGTGGAGAGCCTCAAGGGTGAAGACACCATTCTTTAGGACATCACCTACCTTTGTTCTTTTCTAAGAAGTAAGAATGGCTACTAATACCTTCCCTCTTCATTCTCTGACCTTTCTTTTCTTTCTTTCTTTCTTTCTTTTTTTTTTTTTACCCCTCAATAAAACAGGCCTGTTCTGAATTCCTGTTCTTAGTTGCCTCTGGTCTGTGTTACTTAGTCACCAACACTTTGTGCTACTCAGTCCAATGTATGTTGTTGTTGTTGATTGCCTTTGAGTCGAGCACAACTCATAGCGACCCTATGAACAAAAGACCAGAAACCCCTCTACAACTATTGATGTTTATCAAAGTTCATAGAGTTTTCGGAGGCAAGTTGTTTAGGAAGTGGATGCCACTCCTGCTTCCAAACTGGTCATAGAACGTTATTGCTTGGGTGGCCTGCAATGCATAACAACCCTATGTAGTAGTTCTAAACTAATTCAGATTTCACACACTTTTCTGAATGGGCTCTGATTGTAAACAGATATTAATTCCTTTTAGTGACATCAATTCTGGTATCTTCTCTTTACTCTAAGAGACTTTGAAAGGAGTCTTCAAGAGACAATGTCTGAGCACATGGGCTTACCACACTCAAGAAGCAGCATCTTGTTGATCATTTGATAACAATTATTTAGAGGATCACACCTCTTTCCTATTTTCGCATATTTGATCTCTTTGCATCCTTATAATCACCCAGAGATTAAAATTCTATTTTTCTCTTTTTTCAGATTTCCAACTGGGGTAAGAGAATGATAGTGACTTCACCAGGGTCACATAGCATAACATGACCTCAGCCATGCAGACTCTGCTAGCCAAAGCTGATCATCCAGACCCCACTCACACATTCTTTGAGAAAGTCAGGAAAGTGCTCCGTCATCATCGCCAGCAGGTCAGCCTTGTTAATAGTGTCATCTTGTTTAGCATAATGATGAAATAATTTGACCAGCTCCTTGATAGACTCCTCCAGTCGAAAGTTGCTCATCTTTGCTTTCAAAAGGCTACAGAAAATAAGAAAAAAATTATCTTCATTTCCTTCCATGATCTGAGGATCTCTAAGTTAGTAGATGTTAGGGCTGTGGCGTGAGTAGAGCAGGACTGAGGGAAAGCAAAACAAAGCAACTTATGTTTCCCTGTGTGGGTAATGATTTATATATTATATACATACACATCTCTCTCTCTCTCTCTCTCTCTCTCTCTATCTATCTATCTATCTATATATCCCAAGGTAAGATCAAGGAATCACAGGCCAAGAACATGAGGAGTTCAAGAAAGACAACAGGTGTCTAGTTGAGTCAACTCCATGGAGATGTGGAGCAGGAAAAGTGGATGTCAAACCACACAGGACCAGGTAGTAGGTCCCTATGTACATAAAGCATTTGGGGGACTCCACACTCACACAGCACTAATACCACCTACTGCAGCTTCAAAGTCAGGGTTAGAATCATAGCCCAATGTCTTTGGCTACCTGGGTGCTAATCTTGCCGTTTCTCAGGAGCAGGACCCTCTCTGTACACAAGAATATGTTACAAGTCCTGTAGGACATGGGGTCTGAAGTTCCCCAGCTGTCAGTGTGAGAAGAGAAATAGATTCTGTCTGTCTACACAGAGGTCTTCCTGAATCACCTCGACATTTAAGAAAGAGAGCCGGTGACCCCAACCAGCCTCCAGATTTCACATGAACAGGAGTCTCTGGGTTCTTTCTTAGGCTGCTGAATGGCTTTAAGAGTGAAGAATCCTTTGGATTTTCCATTATAAGGGAATGTCTGTCCTGAGTGCCTTTCTTCTTTCAGATCACCAGAGGTTGGGAACACTTACGTAAAGACAATTTCTAACTTCCTGAGGCAGATTTCCTCTCCAACAGTCAGATATCTAGGTGACCTAACCCAAAGGCAGAGAAAATTACAAGTACAGCACTTTCCATCATCTGCACTAACCATAGCATTCTAGGAACATCTGCGCAGACTGTTTACTTTCAATATGGTGAAAAGCTCTACACTGTCCATTGGATAATTCCTGGGCCTAGAAAATGACTGGACTTTCCTTAAGACAAGTGTCTTACCTGGGCAGGAGTAGCTTAAGGACAATGGTGAGTTTGAAAGTCTAGGTCCAGGAGAGCCTTCAGAGCTTCTACAAGACACCCTTAACCTTCGTTTTCCTAGAAGTGGGGTGGTCAGTGGGACTTCATGAGCCCTGAGACTGACCATCCAGGGAAAAAGAATGCAAGGAAGAAAAAGAAGCATCTGTCTGTTCTTAGCTCCCACTGAAAATATTTCACTGAGTTCTTCTCAGAGAAACACCAAGTGGTAGAATCAAAAGGAGAGATGGAGACAGTTAAGAATCATCAATTCAGAATAAAGATCACAGAGCTCCATAGTGGCAGAGCTGGCACTGGAAGTCAGACTCCCGAGCCCTCACCGCAGTGACTTCCCCAGCTCCTGGAGACAGCAGAACAAGAGGTATTGGGCACAACCCCTAAGGAAGAGCAGAGGAGTCAAGGTCAGCCTTACCTGAGTTGACGGTGATCACAAAGGAGAGGATGAGGAAGACTGTGCATCTGGTCACAGAGCAGGCCCTTTATATGCACCGGCTGGCTCTTCAGGGCCAAGAGCCCTGGGGCCATGTGTGCTGTCTGCTTCCTATAGCCCTGCCTCTCACAGGTGGGTGGACAGTCCTGAGAGGCTGTGACCAGTATTTCCCACCAGCACCTAGGAACGCTACCGAAAACTTCCTCTTTCTCCTAAAACAAAGCAGGGCTAAGGATTAATGGGTGTGTCATAACAGGACAAGGAAGGCAATCGAGAGGACCCGGTTTCTGGATATTAAAAGGGATAAAAGCTGATTCCTGCACTGCTGCACATCCCTGAGAACTCACTCGTCCTGACACTCCATGGGCGTGAACAAACGACTCACAGAGCCACCACCTCTGTTGATGAAGCTTTTACACTGCGCCTGGAAGACAACCAGGAACCTACTGCTCGCATCCTGCCTCATGTACCCTCAATGCCACTCTACAAGGGCTGGCACTGACATTGCATGATATGAGGGGATAGTGAATGCCAATATGTTAAGGACAAATTAAAAATTTCACAAGTACTTGATGACACAGTTACAATATGAACCTGGATCACCCTAATTGCAAAACTTCCTCTAGACCTTATCTCAAGACTCCTGAAGTACTTCAGGTCTGTCTTCTGGGGACTCAAATATCAAACACTCCCAACAATCCTTGGAAAAAGGTAAGAGTCATCCCTCATGAGTGAAAACCTGGGGAACATGGGGGAGTAGGGACTGAACAGACCCACACAGATATTGTGGGGGACATGACACCAAAACTCTGGAGGCCTAACTCTGAAATCCCAACCCTGACCTTCATTCTACTCCTACCTGATACTATGACAAGTGCCTTCCTATTACATCTTCAACCCTTCTTCCTTCTTTATAACAATTTGGTCTGTGTCAGTGTTGTAGAAATATACTGGACCCAGCTTATCGTATCTTCTCAGAAAAGCTGATCACTACGTGGGCACAGGAGCTGGGAGTCAAGATGAGAGTAACTTAGGCGACTAACAAGTCATTGACAGATATCATGTTCTGCTCCAATTCCCTGAGTCCCCTGGTTACATAGGGAGATTTCAGCCTCGTCAAATGATCATTTTCTTGGAATTTCTGGTCTTCACTCTCCACAGAGCATTCTGAAGTCTCCCTAGCATGCAGTTGTTCTCATGATCCAGCATACTCACCCAAACAGCTTCTGAATCTGTCCCCATTAAAACCAGGATATATTATCTTTTATACCTCCCTCTCATTCTTTCACATTATGTTCCATTACTTGGTCTAGGTGCGGACAATTCAGTGACACTCATTTTTCTCATGATTTTTTGTGTGTTGAAATGATGATGATTTCACTATATGTAGTTGTTGTTGTTGTTGTTATGTGCCGTCTAGTCACCTGCAACTCATAGCGACCCAATGTACAACCGCCCTAAACCCTGCTCTATCCTGTGCCAATCTTATTGTCTCTGACACACCTACCTCCATTACCCTAATCACTTAATTAATCCGTCTCATCAAGGATCTTCTTCTACTTTGCTGTCCCTCCTCCCTCCCAAGTATGATGTTCCTCTCTGAGGACTGATCCCGCCTTGCAGCATGTCCAAAGTCAGATGAAGCTTCAGAATCCTTGCCTCCAAGGAGCAGCTTGATTTAACCCTCTCTAGGATGGACTTGTTCATTCTTTTAGCAATCCATGGTAAATTCAATACTCTTCTCCAACACCACAGCTCAAAGGCATCAATTCTCCTTCTATTATCCCTGGTCATTGTCCAGCTCTCTGATACATAGCAAGTGATCGCAAAGATCATGGCCTGTATCAGGCGCACCTTAATCTCCAGATTGGCATCATTGCTCTTCAATACTTTGCTTTTTTTTTTAAAATTTTCTACTAGTTTGTTTACAAAATTAAAATACATTGTTTTTAAGAACAAATTCTTTCAATTTCCCTCATCTCACCCCCATCAAATTGTACAACCCCTTGATTAATCCCCCCACCCCCTATATATCTTCATCCCTTTGCTTCCATCCTCTCCTGACAGCAGACTTTGCCAGTGCAATACATCTTTGGCTGCTGGTGGCAAGAGCGTTGATTGTGGAGCCAAGCAAACTAAGTTGTTTATAATCTCAAGCTCTTCACCATCCATCACGATGCTGCCAATAGACCCAGTCGTGAGAATCTTTGTTTTCTTGATATTGAGCTTCAATCCATAATGAAGGCTGCAGTCCTTGACCTTCTGCAGCAAGCACTTTGGAATGTATATTTCACAATAAAAAATGAGAATGTTTAAATATATGTTTTATAACCATTATATGTATGTCATGCACTTATGAAAAGTCATTTAAATTGGGAGTGAAGATACTATTTTATTCTTCCAATGTTAATTGTATAATATGAAAATTCAATAAAGTTCTTATATAGTTTTGTCAGATAAGATGTGTGCCCTCAGTAGAGCTGGCTTCCTTCAGGGCTCAATGCTCCAACGCAGGAAGAGGCAATTCTCCTCCTTATGGGTGGCCTATGGATCCACTCCTGGTGTCCAGTTTGAGAGAACAGGTGATTATGTAGCTGATTATTCTTCTAATTCCTGGTTCATCATCTCTGGGCTGACTACAATTTGGACCCATAATAGAACAGCTCATCCAGCGTGGGTTAACCCTGCCTCGGGCCGATACACAAGCTGGCTAATACTAACACTGGCTAGGTGAGTACATGAAAGGAGAGGAAGGTCTTTGATGGAAGTATGACCAATACCGTATCTTTTGTGCAAAGCTGGTTGCATGGTGTTGGAGAAGAGTACGAACTACCCCATAGACTGCCAAAAGAACGAACAAGTTTGTCTTGGAGGAGTGCAATCAGGGTGTTCCTTAGAGGCAAAGGTAGTAAAACTTTATCTCGCTCACATTGGGAATGAGGTGGGGCCAATTCTTGGAGAAAAAAACATATTAGGAAAGAGATTCAGAGAAAGAGGATGACCTTCAACAAAATAGATTGACACAGTGACTGTAACATTGAACTGGAATGTACCATAAATGGTAAAGACAGCACAGAATAAGGCAAGGTTCAGCTCTGTTGCTCATAGTGTCATTTGGAGTGATGGCCCATTCAATGGTACATACAACAACAAAATCTCCTGGTGAGCTCACTGAGTACAGACCTCAGAAAGAGAATTGATGCCTTTGAGCTGTAGTATTGGGGGGAAGTACTGAATATCCCATGGGTTGCCAAAAGAACAAACAGATATGTCTTTGTGAAAGTGTAGGAGAGTGATCCTCGCAGGCAGCATTGGTGAAGCTTCATCTTATATACTTTGGGCATATTGTTTGGAAAGGGATATCATGCTTGGAAAAGTGGTGGGTCGGTAAAAGAGACAAAGCCCTCAACCAAACGCACTGACACAGTGAGTAAAGCAATGGGCTCAAGGATATCATA